AACTCTTTCAATATATCTTGATCAAATGGCCACTTTAACTGGGTTAGGACATCAACGTATCACTAAAATTTCCTACTTTGATCCAAACATTATTGTGGTCCCTTTCAAAAAATGAAGTTAAAAAATGCCTTTTCTACATCTTTGTGCTGGCAGACTAATCTGGCTGACTTCATTGGCACTATTGATAATCGTTTGCGTAAGTCAAACTTCTTTCAATTTCTGCAAAATACTTCCTAGATTCTACCAAAACTTACTTGTTCATCACCACTAGAGGCAGCCATTACCATTTTTACCGATGGATACAGTAATGGAAAGGCAGGGTATGTAGGACCAAAAGATAAAGTCATTTCTACTCCATACACTTCTGCTCAAAAAGCTGAGTTGTTTGCTGTTATCTCTGCGTTACAAGATTTTGATCAGCCTCTTAATATTGTCTCTGACTCAGCTTATGTAGTCCATGCCACTAAGGCAATAGAAACAGCTACCATCAAAAATATTACCGACACTAATTTGTTTTCTTTGTTCTTTTTATTACAAAAAACCATCAGAAACCAAAAGCACTCTTTTCTCATCACTCACATGTGTTCTCATACTAATTTGCCTGGACCTTTATCTAGTGGTAATCATAAAGTTGATACTCTATTTTCTCTAGCCGTTACAGATGCAGAACAATTTCATCAACTCATTCATACTAACGCCTCAGGTCTTAAACATAAATATTCTCTCAGTTGGAAACAAGCTAAACAAATTGTACAACACTGTTCTCAATGTCAAGTTCTTCTCTTACCCACACAATCTCCTGGAGTGAATCCCCGAGGCCTTTCTCCTAATGCTATTTGGCAAATGGATGTTACTCATGTTCCTTCTTTTGGAAAATTAGCGTATGTGCGTGTCACAGTTAACCCCTTTTCCAGTTTCATCTGGGCTACCTGTCAAACCAGAGAAGCCACTTCTCACGTTAAAAAACATATGTTTTCAGCCGGTTGCAGTGGCTCACGCCTGTAAGCTCCACATTGTGGGAGGCCGAGGCGGGCGGATCACGAGGTCAGGAGATCGAGACCATCCTGGCTAACATGGTGAAACCCCGTCTCTACTAAAAATACAAAAAAAAAAATAGCCACGCGTGGTGGTGGGCACTTGTAGTCCCAGCTACTCAGGAGGCTGAGACAGGAGAATGGCGTGAACCCGGGAGGGAGAGCTTGCAGTGAGCCGAGATCACGCCACTGCACTCCAGCCTGGGCGACAGAGCGAGACTCTGCTGAAAAAAATATATATATATATGTTTTCATGTTTTGCAGTTATGGAAATTTCTAGTGAGCTCAGAACACACAATGGTCCAGCCTATTGCAGTAAAGCTTTTAAAAATTGTCTTGATCAGTGGCATATTAAACATATCACAGGTATTCCTTATAACCCACAAGGCCAAGCTATTGTAGAAAGAAGCAACAGAACTTTAAAATTACAATTACTTAAACAAAAAGAGGGGGATAAGGAGTTGTCTACCCCTCACATACAACTAAACTTGGCATTGCTCATGTTAAATTCTCTTAATATTCCTAAATCTAGTTCTGTTACTGCTGCCAGAAAACAATTATCTGGTAACCGTCCCATGGTAAACCAAGCAAGGGAAGTATGGTGGAAAGATGTTCAATCTAATATATGGTCAAAAGTTTCTATTTTAACGTGGGGAAGAGGCTATGCTTGTGTTTCCCCAGGTGAACATCAATCTCCTGTTTGGATTCCTGCTAGACACCTGAAATTGTGTCCTGAAGATGCCTGCAACAACGAGACAGAGAAAGTCGCTGAGAAAACACCACAGCAGGAAACAACTAACACATCCAACTGTCAAAAAGAAGAAAATAACCACGCTAACTCCTTTACAACAGACAATCCAGTCCGTCATCCTGAACAACTCGTCTCCAGCGATCCAGGTCCGGCTCAACCTCTGCCTCCTCCTGATGACACTGATCCTTCTACCCTCTGTCACCCCACAGACTGTTAAAAACTATACATATTCGGCCTATATTCCTTTTCCTCCTCTTATGTGAGCCTTGACATGGATGGACGCTCCTATCGAGGTCTATGTTAACGATAGTATTTGGATGCCTGGTTCTGTAGATGATGGTTGTTCTGCCCAACCTCCAGAAGAAGAAACCCCTTTCAATGTCACTTTAGGTTGTAGGTACCCACCTTTGTGCCTGGGACCCACTAATGGATGTCGCTCACTAGATATTCAAACTCGGGCAGTCACACTACCATCTGGTCACTCTGTCCCTCCTTTAGGACACTTAGTATCAGGGTTCTCATTAAAACGTCTAAGGCAGATCAAAACAGGAATCACTGATTATGTTCACACATCCCAATACAAGCCTTTAGGACCTGTGTGTCCTCTCGACTTGTCTTCAAATGCTGGCAAATTAATAAGGAAGGATGGTGTTAGTTCAGAAGGAACTGTGCTATTTAATTCTTCTCACCACACCATTGTTGATTGGGCTCCTAAAGGTCATATTACTAACGATTGCTCTCAGGGTCACAGAGATTTCAACATTTTCTCTATGATATTACTTATCAAAAAAGTAGTGACAACTCTCCCCTATTATATCGTAGATTTAACTCCTTTTTTCCTTTTAAGTGGAAAGGGGCAGGGGTTGCCCCTCCAAAGCCAAGGCTTGTTGTTCCCCACTTAGGACCTGAACATTCAGAATTATGGAGATTAACCATAGCTACGACTGGTATGACAGTTCAGGCTGGATAAAGTGTTATAAGTAAATACACCTTGTCACCTCGAAAACTAAGACAACAGATTGATTTACACTACTATTTCCACACAGCCAAAAATATCACTATGGCAATCGTCAAAAGGTCAATTCAAAGATGGGACAGTAAAGATTATGAGGACTTACATGCCCCCCCTTTGCTAATGTCCCCCCACCACCTCTCATACAACCTATTCCCCCCACCCCACATTCACAAAAAAAGAGTACCATCCCAAAATAGATATACTATCTATATGGAGTCCAACAAAACTATACCACTTAAAAGTTGTGTTAAATCACCATATATGTGATTAGTAGGAAAGATGCATATTAGTTCAAAACCAACATAATTACCTGTGTTGATTGTTACTTGTATTGACTTATCCTTTAATCAATATCATAGTATTTTAATAGTCAGAGCCAGAGAAGGTATTTGGCTCCCTGTAGCCTTACATAGGCCTTGGGAATCTTCCCCTTCTATCCATGTTATTAACAATATTTTACCAAAAAATCTTAAAAGGAGTAAATGATTTATTTTTATGTTAATTGCAGTGATAATGGGCTTGATTGCTGTTACTGTGACTGCTGCTACTGCTGGAGTTGCATTACATCAATCTATTCAAACTGCTCATTTTGTGGATAAATGACAAAAATATTCTACTCGGATGTGGAATTCTCAGTCAGGTATTGATCAAAAATTTGCCAATCAAATTAATGATCTAAGACAAACTGTTACATGGATGGGAGATAAAATTATGAGTTTTGAACATAGATTACAAATGCAATGTGATTGGAATACTTCTGATTTTTGTATAACTCCATTTCAATATAAGTCTGTTCACAATTGGGAATCAGTAAAACGCCATTTACTAGGAAGTGCAGATAATTTAAGTTTAGACATAAGCAAGCTAAAAGAACAGATTTTTGAGGCCTTTCAAGCACATTTAACTGCTTTACCCAGTGCCGAAGTTTTAGACAGTATTTCTGAGGGGTTATCTAATCTCAACTCCATTCAATGGGTAAAATCTTTGGGAGGATCCACTATCGTTAATTTTGTTCTGTGTATAATTTGTGCTATTGGTTTATTGTTCATGCGTAAAATTGGAAAAAATATGCTTCAATCCAATTGTGATCAGCGCCAAGCTACGATTGCTATGGTTCATTTAAATCAGAGAAAAGGGGGAGATGTAGGGAGACCCCCTGAACTATTGCTACAGAATAAAAGATGAAATGCTCCTGATTATTGTAAATAGAAAGTTGCATGCAGGATTGTGTAAAGACAATGCCAGGCTGGAATGCCAGAATGAACCAACAGCGCGTGATGTGCTTCCCCCTGCAGAGAGCCTATGAACGGATGTGCAGTCAGAGAGGTTTCACATCACCAAGATTCCTATCCCAGAAAAGTAGATGTTCATAGTTCTGGGAATGGAACGCGACCCTCATGGAGAGCCTATACACGGATGCATGGGGCGCCTGTCCATATGGATAAGATAGGGCTATAAACGCCCTCATCTTGCTGCAGCTCTTCAAGGCCTCTTTAGGGTTAAGGCATATTCCCTTCTGAGAATTTCTGGTCTAACCAGTTGTCTAGCTTCATGCTCTGTTTCTATTGATTGTTTGTAACCAGCTTTTGCTGCAACTGTTACATCTGATTAATATCTTGCTAATCATAGGTTATGGAAACACTGTGTTTCTGTTTTAAGGCTCCGTTAGAAATTACTGATGCACACACTATACTGTAAATTCTTATCTCTGTGTACTGTACTTCTGCGTACAGATGTTATGTTAAAGAATGACTTCATCCCCATGTGACCATCTCACCTCATAATCAAAAAACCCTAAATCTCTTACTAACCTACCCCTGTCCTCACTAAACTTAATAACAAATGCTGGCATATCCAGTGCACTGGTGGCATTGTGGGACCAGAAGGCGGTGACCCCCCTGGACGCAGCCTTTCCTATCTTGTGTGTATATTATTTCTCGACCTACTGATCTACTTGGGAACAAAAAAAGTGCCCCGTTGCATTGCGGACTATTGGCCAGATCGCACAATAAGGGACTGGACTGTGATGCTCACGGTTCTTTACTAGACTCTTAATGTTTTCTAACCAAACTGTCCAAACCTCATTTCTGGCAGGCAGCTCAATCCAAAGTGGCTCTCCAGCAAAAACAGGCTAGTAAGTTCCACCTTTCTCAACAATGAAGATTTTTTCTTAGGAAAGGGGTGCGTCCAGAATACTTACGTCCTTTCCTGGGAGGTCCTAGTCCTGTTCGCTGCATATAGAGAAAGGAAAACATTGTGAGAATCGGCCATGCTGTGTCCTGTGTGCACAGGTCTTTGTTTACATGATGACATTAGAAACCCAGACAGGACATAGTGCCTGAGGCAATGGCCCCAAAATAAAGCCTAGAAGACATTGTGGAAACGCACAAGAGTTTTGTGTAAGATTTTCAAAATGATTTTGGTTGCAAAGTCACCGTCATTTTCAAGAACGAATTTCTCAAGAGGAAAATGCCCTCTGCCATGCAGTTTGTCACTAAAGCTGTCATCTACGGGTACCATCTTGAATCAGCTCTTAGTTGGTAATGGACTCTTACTTACATTTGCCCACCGAGAAATTCTGCAATTCATCTATAATTTCCATGGTGAGACTTGCATATCATAATTCAAATGAAATGGAAAGAAACCAAGAGAAATAAAATTCTCATCTCAGACAAATAAAGAAGAGTTTACCTCGCAAAGAGCTAGGGCCACTTCTGGGGACACCACACTGGCCTCCGTCACTAGGAAACATAGAGTCATTGTCAGCCGTGGGAGCTGCTGAAGGACCTCTGGCAGCCTTGGGTGCTGAGCACACAGGGCTGGCGTGTGTGGAGGAGGTGGGTGAGAGCACGGGCTGAGCTGCTGTTGGGCCACCCTCCTTGGTGGTGAAGGAGGCAAAGAAGACCATCAGGAGAGCCCTGGGAGACACAGCCTCGGGTCTGTGGCTAAGCCACCCTCATCACTGTGAAGTAGGCAGTGTGTTCACACAGGCAGCACACAAATGCAGGACATCACTCCAGGACAGGGTCTCCTCACAGAAAGAGGCCTCGTAAATATCCTCTTTTTTGTAAAAATGTTACTATGTCACTTAACTTTCCTAAATAAACCTATGCTCCTACTGCAGTTAACATCCATTTTATTGGACTTTAAAACATTATGGTGAGCTGGCCAGGTGCAGTGGCTCACGCTTGTAATACCAGCACTTTGGGAGGCCCAGGCAGGCAGATCACAAGGTCAGGAGATGGAGACAACCCTGGCTAACGCGGTGAAACCCTGTCTCTACTAAAAATACAAAAAGATTAGCCAGGCGTGGTGGTGGGCACCTGTAGTTGCCACTACTCAGGAGGCTGAGGCAGGAGAATGGCACGAACCCGGGGGGCAGAACTTGCAGTGAGCTAAGATCACGCCACTGCGCTCCAGCCTGGGTGACAGAGCAAGACTTCGTCTCAGAAAAAAAATTTTTTTCACAATATTTATTATTTTAATCCTTAATTGCACACTTCAGGAGCAGACAGGACCACAACAGCAAACACAGAGGGGAGCCCACGCACTTCTCCCGACCCTGAATCAGAATCCACACGGGAACCTGGATTTGTGTGGGACTCAGCAGACTGCAGAGGGTGAGCAGGAAGCCTTTTCACACTCGTGGTCTATCTCAGGACAGGGCTGTGTGCATCACAACATCACTGGGGCCCCCAAGATGGGCTGCCCAGGGCTGAGCTCTGGGATGAGAACCAACAAAAAAGACACAGCGCCTGCCTTCACAGTGACCAGCCATGGCCAGAATCCTTCCACCCATGGGTGAAGAACACAGACTTTGGGACTGATGATTCCAAGCCTATCTCAGAAAAACAAGCAAAGTGATGTCTTGTGGGTCACAAGGGAGATTTGCAAGGAACACCTGGCCTCTGGGGCAGCCCCTCCCTTTGCTTAGCTCCTCCCGCACTGGAACTGGCTCCCCTCCCACTTCTGCCTCAACTAGTGTGAAGCAGCTGCCCTGGCCAGGAGCTGTGAGGCTCCTTCCAGTTAAATGTGATTCTGGGATAAATTAACCTTGACCAACAGCATCTACACAAGGACCAGCTGCCAGGTGACTTCCAGAAGCTGGTGAAAAGTAAATGAATGCTGTTCTCTGTCCCAGCCACAGGGAGAGCAGAGGCCTGAGGACGGCTCTGTGCCTGGCCTGACTCTGATGTCCAGCCCTGCTCATCATATCCCCCGCGTCTAAGTCAGGTATTTTGGGAATTCACTCCTCTTCTTTGCCTCTCACTAATTTCTGATTGTGTTATTGCCATCAACACAGAAAGATGGAGAAGAGAAATGAAAACGCAGCTCCTCTCTCCAGGCTCTTGGAAAGATGGCCAGGCAGTGCTTAGGCCGGCACTGAAGTCCAAGCTCTGCTCCTTCCCCGTCAGATGGGCCCGAACATCCTGGCTGCGCCCAGGGCATGACAGTGGCCTGACTCTCCTGACCTTTCAACCTTGGCTTTCCCCCATGGCTTGGATGTCCTCATGTCTTCTTCCTGCTCCTCTAACTCATGTTCCCTTTCAGGCCCAGGCCCAGGCTGTGCTCTGCTCTCTCATGGAGCCCACTGGGCAGCTGGCCGTGAATGTTTAGAACCTCAGTGTTGGCAACACTGATTTGTACCTCTAATCACACACAGCAGAAGGGCCACCTCAGTGCCACAGAAAACTGTACTCTAGAGAGGAAAGATGACGAGGGGAATTTGGTTATGAGGACACACTTTCTGGGGCAAACAAGGGACACTTTAAAATCACACAGCCTCATTTATTGAAAAGTAGAAAAACACTGTCACCTACGCAGCAATCCAAATGACCTATAAGAAGTTTCTACCAAATGCACACTCCAAAGAAACTCAAACCAGAGTTGGCTCATTTTAGATTCATATGGACTGAAACCAACCACCTTGACTTGTTTTTTGCACAGGCCTTCAGAGGCAAAGAAGAACCTTTGTCAACACTGGGGGCAACGGGAGCATCACGGAGCCTCTGCCGTCCCACAGCTGTTTGTCTTTCCCCACCTGCAAGTCACGAGCCACCCTCCATCCTGCTAGGAGGAAGGCAAGGGCTCACCCTGCCTCTCAGACCCTCGGGCAAACCCCTTGGTTCTCTTGTCCTGTTGCTGTGTTTCCTGAGCCGAACACACAGAAACCATGACTAGGCTGAGTGCTGCAGGCTGAGCCTCCACATGACCCCGGCATTAGCTGTTCTGGGCCACATTATCTGATGGTCAATGGGACGCTGCAATGAGGACAGTCAAGTGATTTTACCCCAACCCTGCCTGCAGGCTCCTCTTTTCTCAGTCTCCTGCCAAAACTGGTCGTAGCTTGGGGCTGCCCAGGGTCTCCCTGCAAAGAAAGAAGCCCTGCCCACTCCCCATGCTGAAGACGGGTCGTGGAGGATCAATTCTGAAGGCTTTAGTAGAAAAGGCTTGTGAAGGAGGGAAGTGGCAACAGTGAGGTGACACGACCACTCCTATGCCAGGAGGAAATGGAAAGGCCTGTTACCAGGTGAGGTTTATTGAAAAATGAGGTTTGGAAGGGGATTCCCATTGAAAAATAAAAATGAATTA